TTCTTCCTCAGTTTTTTCATGGCTATTTAGTCTACTTTTCACATGAACTTTAGAATCAGCTTATGGTGTTTAAAAAAAAACTTACTTGTATTTTTATTAGACTTCCTTTACAATTTACCTCGGAGGACTGAGAGGACCTCCCTCCTCTGTGCTGCAGCCATCTTTTTGTCCATCAGAGTGTATCCGGGCATCTTTCTTAAGGCCCTGCCTATTTCCTGTCTAGTCGTCATCTTGTGCATTGCCCTTGTGAGTGTGGTCTTTCTCCCAACTGCTTTCTCACCACTTCTTTTTGCTTGATTTTCTGGATGACTGTGGCCTTCCTCACTAGATGGTGCAGCATGGATGATGGCCAGCACCGTGTCTGAAAACCAGTGGATGCGGGTGGACAGCAAGTGACTAAATGAGCCGCCTCAGGGGGTGGCCCTCTTTCTGCCGGGGCAGATGCTCCTCCAAGCCTTGTGCTACTGACTTGTCGGGGTGGCTCACGACAGGGTATTTCTGCTTTTCTCTCTTTTTTTTCCCTTCACATTTGCTGGGCCCTGACAATGTGCTAAGCCCTTGAAGCCCTTGCTGGTTTTGGGGTGAGCTACAGATGCTCCAGAAATCCAAATCAGGCCTGCTCTCCCAGCCAGGTAAAGGGAAGAGCACAGGCTTAGAAATTAGTACTGATTCTAGCCCAGCCTCAAACCCTCTGTCTGATACTGAGCAAACACTGTCTCCTTCCTGGTGTTCAGTCCCTTGTCTGTTAAAATGAGGATAATAATGACGCTTACTTTGTAAGGTTGTTAGAAAGATTAATTACGATGATGTATGTAAAATACCTAGCCCAGAGCCTGGCACGTAGTATGTACTCAGTGAACCCTGACTGGTGTTGCATTTGCTGTGGGAAAAGCCAGGAAGGTTTCCGGCCTCATGAAGAACCCTGGGTTGCTGCCCTGGGAATGGGACCTAAGACCTGTCTGGCCCAGGGTGGGCTAGTGTTCCCTGGCTCGATTGTAGTTTAGGTTTTCCTTAGACCATTGCTGTACCTCTCTGGGTTTCAGCATTTTTTTTTTTCTTTTTTCTGTAAGCTACAGATCTTGTCTCTGACCAAAGCTCTTTGTAGCAAGGTTAAAAACGATGATAGAGAGTCTTTAGAATATAAAATTGTGATGCAGGGTAAATCTGGTTTTCATATATACCAAAATGCACATTCGCCCACTTGGGGCATCAGCCCTGCTGTTATGTGGCTGGCATCCGGATAGGCCGTGTTCTGTGGAGGACCTTAGGGTCTGTTGGGTGCACGCCCCACACAGTCCCTCCTGCTCCTTGCAAAGGCCATCTGGACTCCGCTCAGACTATGTCCCATCAGCTGTGCCTCCTTGGGCAAGTCACATTCCCACTCGAAGCCTTCTGCTCCGCATCTGTAAGTCAAGGGCTGGACTCAGCGTCTTTATGGTCTGCCTTCCCGTGCCCCAATGTTCTGTGTTGCTAATGGAGATGAATCCTGGCCTCCGTGGCTAAGCACGCTATGGCGAGCACTTGAGGAGTTGGATATTTGGTGCTATTTAGATTGTTAAAATAGAACAGGCTTCTGAATTGTGGCCAGAAGATAATGAATCCCATTTCTGTACAACAATGATGATGACGGGACCAGTCATGTAGCAGAGTTGCTGACGTGGCGGGCCGCTTTGGCCCAGGATTCTCTGCAGCAAATATATATGCAAAGCTCTGGCAGAGCAGTTGGTTGTGGCGTCTGAGGAACTTTGGAGAAAAGCCAGTCGCCCGGTTGGTTTTATGTTCTCCTGCACTGATGGGACTGATGTTCAAGTTTATATTTGCACTGGTTCAGCGGGCGAGACTTTCTTCTAGACACCTGTCCTGGCTCCTGACTCTCGGGGTTGGGCGCACTGCAGGGATCGCTTAGTCAGAGGCCCCATTTTACAGTGGGGACCTCTGTGGCTGGAGGCAAGGAGTGTGGTCAGGGCTTGGAGCTGGTGAACAGAGATACACAGAGGCCCTGGACTCTTCTTCCCTTCTCTGTGCCTGACCCTGCACTCTCCTCATGGTTCCTTCTGGCAATTTCTCCCTTCCCAAGTTTCCCTCTCAGTCATCACTGACTCTGCCTCAAGGGCTCTTGGCCTATGCCAAGGGGCTGGAGGAAAACATTAAGGGTGGCATTCTGAATATAAAGCACTTACTGAGTACTGGTGGTTGGGGCAGCATGGGAAGACATGGGGGCAAGAGGGGAGAGGACAAAGGTCTGCTCTCAAGGCATGTGCCATTTTCTGGGTGCCCCAAAAGTTCTAAGCAGGGCCTGATAGGAGGTACAGCAGGTGAGCCTGAGGGAGGAGTAGCTGGAGGTGGGGACCTGGACCCAGATGCTCAGAGGGAATGCAGAGCTTTTGTTCATAGACAAAGTGATGGATGGCTGCTGGCTGTCCCGGGAGGCAGGTGACAGTGAGGAGAAGGAGAGCTGGCAGTGGCGCCCTGTGCTTTGACCAAACTAGGACTAGCTGTGACTGGCCAGCTGTCACAGAAGCAGGGTAGCTGCTGCTATCAGTCCCAAGGATCCTACACAACCTTACTGGGTGTCGGTGCCTGTGGCCTGAGGTCCTGTCAGCCCCCTGCTCTGTCCTCCTTCTGTGCTGCCACTCTAGGAGAGCCAGAGTGCCCAGGGGCTGATCCTGCATTAGAGAAGGGCAGCATGAGTGACCACAGAAGGATTCCCTGCGGATGTGTTTAATCTCAGTCTTTGGTTTGAAAGCTGCCTCAGAGATTATCATGTCTCTAGTGAGGAAAGCAGAGACCAGAGGGGAGGAGCTCATGGAGGTTCCCACAGAGGGTTGGTGGTCCTGACTCTCACATCCCACCCCTGCCCTTGGTAGATCCTGTCTCAGGGTGATCGAGCCTGGAGTTGCAAAAAGAATGAAAGGTCAGGAGCTTTTTCCGGAGGAGTTTATCGTTTAACTGAAGGAAAGGAGAAATAAAAGGGCTGGGATGGGTTGTGTATATGTACCAGCTCCCCACAGAGAATACGATATATGTACCACAAATGAGCACTAATTTAAAAAAATAAGAATTGAAAGAAAAAAATTGAAAAAACAAAAAAAGAAGAAGACAAAATGAGAAACAGCCAACTAGACAGTGCCCAGGGAGGAAGTTTCAGAACTGAGAGTTCCGAGCCGGCCCTTGGGCCTGGGAAAGTTTCCCAGAGGGGCTGGGCCTTCCTGGAAGAGGGGACGGGCCTGGAAGGTGAGAGAATGGGGAAAGAAACTCAGGACAGTAGCACGTGCCAAAGCAAGGAGGCCGAGATCTGGGGCCCTCTGGGGTATGTAATTGCTGGGTCTTCAGGGAATTGAGGTTTTTGTGGGCTCCTGTGGCTTGATGAACCCTACCGGGTGACCAAGGACTTAGTGAGGTTAGGAGGTGCTTCCCAAGATGAGCTTCTCTCCATGGGACCGTTCCTGGATTCTGGGAAATATACACCTTCCAGAATAGGACTCTGTCTCACTGTTTCTGCTGAGCGACCCCAGTGTGGGGAGTGGCCCTCCGATGCAGGACCTGGCTCCGGGGATTGGGAAGCTCTTTATCTGCTTCAGAGCTCGTCACTGAGGGGTGGTGGCTAGTGCAGAAGACAGAGACTGCCTGTTGCTGGCTGGAGCCATTCAGCCAACAGAGCAGCCTGCAGAAGGGCAGAGCCCACAGCCAACTCCCAGGATGTAGGGAGACCAGCACCTCCCTGGGCTGTCTTGCATTCTGGTCACCAAAGGGTTCAATCTTTCCCTGGGCTGTAGCAGTGGGCCTGGCCCCTGGGAACCAGGAAGAGTGGGAGCCTATAGGGGCAACCCAAGGAGGGGGCACCCCCCCAGGCAGGGAGGAGGATCAAGGAACCCAAGGGCAAGGGCAGGCCTGGCCAGGGCAGAAACCAAAGGGTTAACAGATGCAGCAGTGCTGATAAAATGCCCCACATTCCTGGTCCTGCCTCCAAAAGGGAGGGCGTCTGGTAAATGTCAATGATAAAAAATACATTTTAATGGCACATGATGGAGCCGCTACCGTGGGGCACAGCAAAAGAAACCAAGCAGGTTTGGAGCAACACTGCTATGTGTTACTTCCAGGGCTCCAGTGAACCTCCTGGGTGCTTTGCTAAACTTTATCCAGCTGGGGTTATGTGCTTCCCCCAGCCCATGGCCCTGGGGTGCCCAGGGCATCCAGCCTTCTCTGGCATTATTTTCAACACTTCATTGGTCTCCCACTTTTGTGTGTACCCCTGCCGACCCTCCCTGCAGGCTGGAGCTGCTTGGTTGCTCCCAGAGCAGCTGCAGCTGGTTTCCTTGCACCCAGGACTGAGAAGTGCTTGTCCAAATGAGGGACACCCTGAAAACGGGGCTGGACCTTTCTCTCTGCTTGTCCACTCCCCCTCCCACAAAGCCATGGGCTCTGAAGCTGCCTTCCTGGCTGACAGATGTGAGAGGAAGCAGCCCAGTGCTGGGGCTGGCATTTCTAGGAAAGGCAAGTCAGGCTGGAGGGCGTCACTTGAGGGAGGTAAGTTACAAAGTGTGATCACATTTTAACTACCTGAGAATGAGGCTCAAGGAGGTTGAATGACTTGACAGAGGGTCATAAAGTGAATCAGCAGCATCCTGAACTTCTGCCTGCAACTCAGAAGTCCTGCTGCTATGTGATGCTGAACTCACCAGGTTTTTAAGCTTCGAAGGCTTTTTCTTGAGGGCTCCATGGCCTCAGTGAACTCTGTCACAGCAGGGAGGTCCTAGGCCCTGGGGCCGGGTGTCAGTGCTGGAGCACTGGAGGCTTAATGCATTGTTGGGACAGAGTTGAGATCCAGGAGCCTGGTTCTCCACTTGGGTTGGGAGCTTCAGGACCTTTCCAGAGTTCCAGCCTGGTGGTTAGGCCGGGGCCCTAAGCTTTTAGGAGAAAACTAGCCCTGAGCCAGCTGCACTTGGTCAAGGAGCAGAGGGTGGGGACCTGGAGCGCAAAACAACACCCTTCTTTTCCAGATCATCCTCAACTCCATGCACAAGTACCAGCCACGGCTGCACATCGTTAAAGCTGATGAGAACAATGCTTTTGGCTCCAAAAACACAGCCTTCTGCACTCATGTGTTCCCAGAGACCTCATTCATCTCTGTGACCTCCTACCAGAATCACAAGGTATAAGCATGGCTCCACCACAGAAACCACCTGTTGTGCCTGCCACTACCAGAGGGACATAGTAGGGCTTCGAAACCCAGAGCAGCGGCCCTCTAAGTGACAAACGGGAGCCAGAAACAGTCTGGGGTGTGGGGGTAGGTAAGGCACAGAAGGCAGGCAGGCCGGTTCTTGGTTCCTGGAGCCATGGAGCTGAACTGCAAAGCCCAGGGAAGACCAAAGCCCACCGCCAGCAGCTGTGAACCCCAGGAGCATGGCGCCCGCCTGCCGTGTTGTTTGAGGGTTTGGCCCCTTTCTTCTGCACGCTTCCTCCAGGTGCAGGTGCAGGCCTGGAGAGGGGCAGTAAAGGAGGAGAGGAGTCCCTGATATGGTCAGCCGGGACACCCCTGGATGTCCACCCAGCCCTACCCCTCTGTCCACCCAGCCCTACCCCTCTGTCCACCCCTCTGCAGCCCCGGGCATCCCCTTGGGGTCCTGAGGAGCTCTCCTGCCTCTCCACCTCCCTCTTGCCCCCTTTCTCAGGGCCTTCACACATTATTCCCCTTGGGACTGGTTAGGTAGATCTTAGGCCGAAGAGTAACAAAGTCAAATTTGCATTTGAAAGATTCCCCCCCAACTTGATGGTAGTCACAAGAAATGGGCTGACACAGCAGGAAGAGATGCAGGGTGCAGGAAGAAGACTCAGGGGACTGGAGGAACATAACAAGGGGGGCAGCCAGGAACAAACCAGGCAAGGGAAGAGGCGGAGGAGGACCCAGTGAGGGCCAGCTGTCCTAGGGCGCCCCCTCCCCAGACCTTTCCTGAGTCCGAAGGCAGCCCGGCCTCTCTCTTTCCAGCGACTCCACTGTGTATCCTCTCCCAACAGATCACACAGCTGAAAATCGAGAACAATCCTTTTGCCAAGGGGTTCCGGGGCAGTGATGACAGTGACCTACGTGTGGCCCGGCTGCAGAGGTGGGGCTGCCCCAGCCCAGGGGTAGGGTGGGTAGCATGGGTCACTCTCACGGCATCTTCACTCTCTTCCTGTCTCTGCACCTGTCCTCTTCACCCCTCCAGCAAAGAGTATCCTGTGATTTCCAAAAGCATCATGAGGCAGAGGCTCGTCTCCAGCCAACTCTCGGCCAAGCCTGACGTCAGCCCCCTGCACGGAGCCCACCAGGCCCTGCAGCACTATCAGTACGAAAATGGGGCCCACATGCAGTTCGCTGCTGCGGAGCCACAGGACCTGGGTCTGAACGCCTTCCCACCCCAGCGGGACTCCAGCCTCTTCTACCACTGCCTGAAGAGACGAGGTAGCATGCCTGGTCCAGGAGCCCTCAAGGGCTGGGGCTCCACAGGGGAGCCAGTCTGTGGGTTGGTGGCCATGGCCAGGCTCAGGGCCACCTTCTCCCATGCAGGAATGCTGGTCGTTATGTGGTGTTTGGGATCTGCACAGACAGCTTGGGGCCTTGGTGTCCCCTGTCTCCATGCTGGTTCCCTGACGGGGTCCAGGTGTTGCTTTGCAGGCACTGCTTTGGGAGCTGCCTTGGGGCAGGAAGAAGACACAAAACCAGCTAGGCTCCGCCTAGAAGCTCAGGAGGAAGCTGGGGCTTCCAGGGCCACAGGCTCTTGGATTGGGGCTTTGTTTACCAAGGTAGCCTGTGTACAGCACTCTCCACCTTTGCCTAACTGCATGGGATGTTTGGAAGCCACAGTGAGCTACTGAAGAAGCAGACTGGGGGCCAGGAAGATGAGCAACAGCACCTTGCATGCTGGGCTGCTTGGTGAAGAGCCCTGGCCCCCTGGAACTGTCACACCCATGCTCTGCAGCAAAAGCCCAGCTTTCTCCTTGGGTGGAATGGGAATGATCAATGCTGCCCTGCCGGAAGGCCTCACTAGACCTTTTAACTGACGTTCTCTTGGGAACGAGTCTGGAGACCTTTCCTTGTAATCCAGAATGTTCTTTGAGTCTGTTCCTAGGAACTGCACGGGCAGAGCTCCAAGTATCCTCCAAGCCCCATTAGAACTCAGTGACCCTGAGCAGGGAGCAGCACACTGTGGCCCTTGGACCAAAGCCAGCCTGCTGCCTGATCAAAATGGTTTTCCCATTTTTAAATAGCTGAAAAAACCAAGAGTAGCTGACAATATGTGAACACTATGTGAAATTTCAAATGTTAGCATCCATAAATAAGTTTCATTGGAACGTAAGCACGTCATGTATTTATTTACATATTGCTTTCCTGGGCCCACAGCAGAGCAGAGGACCTGTGACACAGACTGTGTGGCCTGCAAAGCCTAAAATATTTACTCTCTGGCCCTTTGCTCATTCCTGACCTAGAGGGACTAGGTCACCTGCCAAGCACAAGAGCTGAGAGCTGGAGAAAGGACTGCAGGGAGGAGGGGAGGGATGGAGGGCACAGTTCCCCAGGCAGGTGAGAGGCCCTGCAGAACCCAAGGGGCAGCTGCAAGTACAGGCTTTGAACTTGGCCCTCGTCTCCCCTGGGCTACCCTGCCCTGTGTACACACAGCTCTCAGAATGAATCCGGGGGGAAACAGAAGGCAGGGGGCCAAGATAAGCCACGGAGAAGTGTTCTTTAATTTGTTGAATGGGCCACTGCTCCAGCCGGAGGACCAGCCATCCCGGATCCCAGGGGAGGGTGTGTCACTCCAGAGTTAAGCCCTCATGATTGAGAATGTTGAAAAATGCAGACATGATTTGTGGCATTTGATGTCATCTTTCCCAGACTGTCAGCTTAGCCTAAAAAAATAGACGTCACCCTCTTTTTCATGTATCAGCTCCATTTCTTTTGTTGTTGTTATTGTTGTTCTTTTTGCTATACTGGGGGGACTGAACCCAGGGCCTTCATATTGAGCTCTATCCTTAGCCTCCCCACAACCTTTTTTCTTTCTCTTTTTAAAACAGACTCTTTTAAATTGCCCAGGCTGGCCTCAAACCTATAATCGTCCTGCCCGAGCGTCCTGAGTGCCGAGATTACAGTCCAACTCAGCTCTGTTTCCTAATTATTTGACACAGTTGGGTTGGAATCAGTGTAATAACCATATGATGAGTCTTCTTCGAGCATGGTAGGGCTAACTTCTTGTTTCAAAAACAACAGAACTTGCGAACAGCTAATCTCAGTGCTCCTCAGGAGCAAAGATTGAGGCAGAGACATCATGGCTTTCACAGTCTGGCTGCTTCAGACACTTGTGATTTCCTGGCCTGGCTGGGCCTGGAAATTGCCTACACTTTCATTGGCTAGAGCCAGCTTAGCCTGAGAATCCAGTGTTCCTGGGGGGCTTCTTACCACCCCAAGTCAGGCTGACAAAGGATCAGAGCTGTGTGCAGCCCGGCTCAGCACATCACTCGGTATCTGGTGATATGGTGTGCCCCCTGGTCTGAGAGTAGGGTCCATAATGTGACCACTTCTTCACTGCTGTCATCTCTAAAAGTGGTAGCTGATTAAAATGGTTCTGGGAGCAACCTGGCAGCACAGGGTGGGGCAGGCACTGACTGACAAGGGCAGGCTGTCCTTTGGGGTGCTCTGGGCCCAGGGCTGTGAAAATGACTCTTCCTGAATATTTCCTGTCTTCCAGCAGACAGCGCCCGCCACCTGGAGCTGCCCTGCAAGCGATCCTATCTGGAAGCGCCCTCTTCCGTGGCAGAGGATCACTACTTCCGTTCTCCCCCTCCCTATGACCAACAGATGCTGAGCCCTTCCTACTGCAGTGAGGTGACTCCCAGAGAAGCCTGTATGTACTCAGGTTCAGGGCCTGAGATTGCTGGGGTGTCTGGGGTGGACGACTTGCCCCCGCCCCCGCTGAGCTGTAACATGTGGACATCGGTGTCACCGTATACCAGCTACAGTGTTCAGACCATGGAGACTGTGCCCTACCAGCCCTTCCCCACACACTTCACGGCCACCACTATGATGCCTCGGCTGCCCACTCTCTCTGCTCAGAGCTCCCAGGCACCAGGAAACGCCCACTTCAGTGTCTACAATCAGCTGTCACAATCTCAGGTCCGGGAGCGGGGTCCCACGGCATCCTTCCCAAGAGAGCGCGGCCTCCCCCCTGGCTGTGAGAGAAAGCCACCCTCGCCACACCTGAATGCTGCCAATGAATTTCTCTACTCTCAGAGCTTCTCTTTGACCCGGGAATCTTCCTTACAGTACCATTCGGGAATGGGGACTGTGGAGAACTGGACTGACGGATGACTGCCTGTGTCCTGGACAGCCCCAGGACCCTGTCAATCAGTGTTAACCTCTGTGGGTGGCCCGCACTACCAAGAAACCCAGGAAGGTATTTCAGAGGGTGTATGTGTGCGAATGCATGTGTGTGCGTATGCGTGTATGCATATGTGTGTGTGTATGTGTGTGCGTGTGTGTGTGTGCTTCATATATGTAGGGAGAGCATCTATCTTCTGACCCATAGCTGAGGCCAGGACAAGAGAAGAGAAACCCCAGTTATCTAAGAGGCGATTTGGGCTGCAGGATCTGCGACCGCTCTTACCTGCCATCCCTTGACCTGCCTAGGTGAGGGACAGGAGTGGAGGATTCGTCTGAGTTCTTTAGAGGTTTCTATAATATAATTGGAGTCAGCCAGGGGCTGGGAGCTGAGATCTCTCTCTGCTGCAGGGAGAGCTTCTTTCTACATACCTTGGGGTCTGGCCTTCCACCTTCAAGGGGTGCACAGGGCCTTCCTTTGGCTTCTGGAGAGGCCCGAAGCCTCCAGGTGTGCTTTCAGAGTAAAACTATCAGCTCAGTTGGTGTCCTAGAGATCAATCCCTGGAGCTCTAAGGTCTGAGGGGTGATTTTCAAAGGGGGTTCTGTGCCAGATGCCACCTCATGGGTATTTTTAAATGTTTTCTTGTTTTTCCTTCAAAAGTAGGGAAAAACCAATCGGTAGCATCTCAGTCATTTTTCAGGGTTTGTGGTAAAGTATAGAGCTCTTCCCTCCAGATCCCCAACACGCAGTTTCTCTCTGGGGTATACAACTGGCCTTTCAGGTACCCTCTGCCTCCCACAGGCAGCAGTTCTGATGACACCTAGCTGGTAGCACCCTCAGAACCCGGCCAGAGCTGATGTCAAGCATTTCTCCTGGGCCTGTTCTGCCTCAGAAATCTCATGCCTCTGGTATGAGACATGCAAAACAAAACTGAGACAAATCAATTTCCTCCTGTAAATTCTGCCCATGTGCTCAGAGGAGCAAAGATAACTTTTCTCTAGGGAGTGACCTCATAGTTCTCAGCCCTGTCCTTTAGCGCTGGACATCACCAGACCGACTGGGAGGCTGGTGTGAACTCTTAAATTAAATTTGGGAAATCACTAAACTCTTTGCATGCTGAATAGCTATTTATATATTATATAAATAAATAAATAAATAAATGAGTAAATATATATATATCTCACAAATGCGGGCCACATGTCAAATTCAGCTTTGCTTTATACAAATGAATAAACTTAATAAAAATGAATACTGGTGGGGATATTTGGAAAGCCATCTATTTAAATTTTTATTACATGTTTGATATGAAAAACTAAGAATGGTTTAGATAAAGCATATATATATTATATTAACACACACAAGAAATAAAGCTTTATTAGAAAACACATTAGCTGACAAGTGATATGGAACATCAAGTGTTTTGTTATATAGCATGGACATTTTATTTTACATATTGGAACATAAAGCCACCTTACAACTGTGAAGTGTGTGGATGCTTTTTATTACTGGCTTGTCATTTCTTGGCCCAGCGATGGTGTCTTCTCACCCGTTGGTTGTATTTTTTTGCAAGTGCTGGGGAGACCCTCAGTGTCTCTGAACATTTGTGCCATGGAGCCGCTGAGTTCAGAACGATTTAGGACCAGCAGAGCGGGTACCTTTGATCTCATGCTACTGTCCCTGTGCTTGCTCAGTGGCTACTCCGTAAGGCAGGTAGGCAAAGACAGGCTGATGGGGGTGGTGTTTTTGATCTCTAGTTTCAAAGTTGATTATTTCCTGGCTAGGTCTTATTTTCAGAGAAAGAGGGTACTGCCCAGGTGATGAGGGCAGACTGCAAGCCCAAGAAAGGCAGAACAGGTGATAAGAATCTGTTACCTTGTAGTAGTCAACACACAACCCAGCAGTTCTGGGGAGGAAGCAGTCCCATAAGTAGAGAATTCTTGGTGGGATTTGTGCCCACCAAGGGAGAAGGAATTTAAGAGCAGGTCAGAACCAGAGCCAGCTTCCTGGGTTGGGGCTTCCTGGAGCGCTTAGATATGAGAATTCCTCAGCTGTCTCCAAGCCAGAGAGGACGAGTCAAGACCTGGCAAAGCTCTCCTCCTATCCACCCCGCTGCCAGGTCCCTGAAGCTTGGGCACAAGATGAAGAGAGAAAGAACAAGGTGAAATCCAGCCTGGATTCACCCCGCTGGGTTAGAAGAGCGGCAGGTAGAGACAGGGGCTGCCAGTGCGCCTTGCTTACAGCCTTTTCCTATTGCCGTTGTCCTCATGGGCTCCTTCCCCAAGTGTTCAACCAAAGAAGAGGAGGGGTCCCTGGCAACCCTCGCCCTGGCAGGACTCAGAAGTTTCCTGCTGGCGAAGAAGTCAACCCGCTCTCCAGTTTTCAGAGTCCTTCCCATGTGGCTCTAAGGTGCTCTCTGGCTGGCTTTTGCCCTGCAGAAGGCCAAGCTCCTTCCTCACTGAGCCTCTGGCTCCCCACCTTGGGCTTCTTGGTCCTTCGTTTTTGCAGCAAGTATCGTGCCGGGGATACTGCATACCTTAAGTGTCCTGTCTGGGAGACCTTCTAGAACTCAGGCAAAGGATTAGATGTCTTTTTCCAGGCCCTCACCAGATAGCTGGCTGAGTCAAAGGTAAAGCAAGTTGCTCCTGAAGGAGGGTATGTCACGAGGGAGCCCAGGGCTTCCCACCAGCTTTCTGGAAAGCATGAGGTCCCTGGGCTGCCCCACCTGGGCATGGCGAGGGCTGGGCCTGCAGTGGGATTTGTGGAACTTTCCTGCCCCTCTGAATGAACAACTTAATAAAACGGGGGCACAGGGGATCTCCTGGAACAAAGGGCACCATTCAGTAGCACCAGCAGGTCATACATCATCAGCCCAGAAGCCTGCCACGTGACAAGTGTCTGCCGCTGCTGTGCCCTGCCTGAGAAGAGGAAAAGAGCCGAACACCATTCAGCTGCACAGCCATGGGCAGGCAGTCTCCAGGGCTCTGCTCCCAGCTCAGGGACAGGCCTCTCGGGGCAGCTCGGCTACCCAGCCCAACAGCCCGCAGCAACAGAAGAGCCTGAAATAACAAAAAGAGAAGGAGAAGCAAAGCTGGGTCAGACTGACAAATTGTTAAAAAACCAAACCAACTTCCAGGCTCAGCTGGGCCTCAGAGGGTCAAGAGGCCTCGGCTCGCCCCACTAATGGAGCCTGCTGGAGGAGCAGCCGCCCAGCCCTGCAGTGTCTTATCTTACAACATAAAATTAAACCCCACTTAAAAGGCCGGAGGGCATGTTAACATTCCCCCTGCTGTCTAATTGAAGTAGTTCCCAGTGCAAAGGATTTCACTTGAAAGATGTCTCCCTCCAAGCCTGGTTCCCCTGCTTCTGGGACCTGGGAAGGGGGTGAGGGTGGGAGAGGCCGTCTTTGAAAGACCTGCACAAACTCAAGCTGGAAAAAGTGCGGTTTCTGCTCACTGCTCCCACCCAGGCGGCAGGTGGCGACAGGAAAGGTTAGAGCAGCCCGGATTGTTTTGTATTTTTAAACAAATTTACAAATTCATTAGCAGTTATGTCAGCAGAGGCCAGACTCCTGGTAATGATTCAAACACGGCAGGCCCTGTGGGAAAACCTGGCGGGTCCTCCAGTCACGAGCTTTCTGTTCCACGCCCGCCCGGCTGCCCCTATGCAAATGTACTGTGGGTCTCCAAGGCATACGGAATTAATCAGGGACATCCTGTAAAGGTGATGAACTTGCACTGGCCATCCTGAGTAATGGGAACCAGTCAGCCCAAGCCAGCCAGGACTGAAAGCCAAGGTGACAGCTATTAAGCAATTGTGCACAGAACAAAATGGCAGAGGGGCCGGGTAATCAATTCAATTCGGATGGGCAGCCCTAGCAACTGCGGCGTCTGTCGCAGCTGATTAGAGGGGACTGGGTTGGAGCTTTCAGTGCAAGCCCATCACAGATCAGAAACAGGCCTAGGATGAAAAGGGAAAGAACCGTCTCTTGAGAAGCAGGCGATGAAGGACTCTGTTTTATGTGACTGTGTTCTTCCTTCTCTCCTTGAAGAAAGAATAGGGAAAAAAAAAAAAAAAACAGCTAGCAGTTTGGAGATTAGATAGTTTTCTTTTCAGCCATTCATCATTATGAAGGAAAGTAGACAGGGCAGGGGCTAAAAAACCTCCAGTGGGATTTCTGTGAAATCTCACTAAGGAGGACCAGGTTTGCAGTGTGCGGCTCACACAGCCCCTGCCTATTACCACAACCTGACAGGGCCTGCAGAGCATCCAGCGTCCCTCTTCTCCAACAAGGGCAAACAGGCCTCTGGGTTCAGAGGATCACAGAAATTCTCCTGCAGAAACCCCAAACCACCAAATTGTATCATTAAAGCCCCAGTTAAAATAATGGGGAGAAAAGGAAAAATGGGAAAGGGAAGATGAGAGGGTCGTGCAGTCTCAGCAGATAACGTCCTCTCAGTGGCCGCCCGATTTTCACTCAACCCAGTGTCAGCACTGGACAGACAGATGACAGCCTCTGGCAGCCTGCTAGAAAATTCTAGATTCCTACTTGGTATTCTGCCCTTTGGTGTGGGGGCTTCAGGGAGGCAGAGCAAGGGATTCCCAGGGTACAGAAGCCGTGAGAGATCTGTCAGGGAAGTGAAGGGAAAGGAAGAGGCTTGTAAGCAATGACAGGGGCTGCAGAATCACAAGGGAAGGGGCCAGTCGGGAGCCAAGCATGGAGCATAAACACCCAGGGTGGGTGGGCGCAGGAAGAGGCTGGCTGGCGGTGAGTGAGCGCTGATGTGGAGGACTGAGCCTGAAGGACCAGGGATGAGGGACGGGGCACAGAGGTGACACATGTGACCAGGAAGTTCTTAAAGGAGGAAGTAGGAATGGATGATCAACCAGAACATAATCACACAAAACTAAACTCACTGATAATCTCAAATGCAAATTAAAGTGAGAACATACAACATTTATCCAACTGATTAGTGGAGGAAGAACAAAAGATGTGGGATCCTCCCTCAGTCACGGCTGGTGGGAGCATCAACTTTTCCGGAAAAAGTGATTTGGTAACATAGACGAAGACTTTAAAAGTGTTCATATCCCAAAGAAAATAACCAGAAATATGGACATAGTTTAATGCTCTGCATGAGTCAGCTTTCCTCTTGTTGGGACACAATGCCCAATTCCCATAACTTAAAGGAAAAAAGGTATAATTTGGCTCACACTTCAGGAGATTCAGTTCCTGGTTCAGCTCCAGCGTAGGAGGGTTATGATGGAAGGCAGCGCATAGCCGTTCAGGTCAGGACAACCGGGAAGCAGAGCAGGGAAAGAATGCCGGAGAGGAATGGGTGAGAGGCCACGTACAGTCCCCAGAGCCACACCCCAGGAGCCACCCAGACATACCCAGCAGTATGCTCTACTAATCTGCTAGTTTCTTCTTAAACCTACATTCAGGGAGAATGGTCACAGTGTATCCCTTGACAACTTCACATCCTAAAGCATCTTCTTAAATCATAATTATCTCCAAATAAACATAATAATAAGTTCATAATTCCATCTGACATAATATAACTATCCTATGTACAACTGGGATATAATCCCTTCCCCAAAGTCTCAATAATTTTTTGCAGTGTTTACAAGTCTCTTGATTCCTGGATGCCATTAAAAGCAGCAGCATGTGGACCATGTCAAGGTTTGTTGTCAGTGGAAGCAGTAGCCAGGCCCCCTTGAGTCCCTTTGAGCCTGCAGTGGCTTCTGAGTACTGGATGGCTGAGTGTAGTGAAACAGATCCCTAGGATACCCTTTTCAAGCAGAGGTCCCAGGGACTCTCTTCTTTTAGCCTATGTGTGGGTCTTGCTGGTTCCTGAGATGTCAAGTCATCTTTTTTTCTTGCCCCTATTAAAAACACTTGTTTTTTATTTTATTTTATTTGGTACTGGGGATCGAACTCATGACCTCGCACCTGTCAGGCAGGTGCTGGGCTGCTGAGCTAAATCCCTGGCTCACTTGTTTTCTTCTTAATGGTACTAATCTTTTTAGTAGTCATATTTCCTTTGGTCTCAGCTTTATATGTGTTTCCCTCTGAGTTAAAATTGAAGTTTTTCAAATTTTTCTGCTCTGCTCTTTGCCCCTGATTCTCATTATAAAGCTAGTTAAAACTAGTGGTAGGCCAGGTGTGGTGGTGCACACCTATAAGCCCAGCACTCAGGAGGCTGAGGCAAGATAGGCTCAGCTTACAGAATTCTAAGGCTTCTCTAACCCACATCTCCAAATCTTTCAAATTCTTCCAGGAAACCAGTTCCAAAGGCTTCTAAACTACCTGGTCAGATACAGTTCACAGCAACAACCCAACTCCTGGTACCAATTTTCTGTATTAGCTTTTCTGCTGTTGAGATATCCCAAATTGACAGAAAAGAAACTGATAAATTATGATACACTCATAGTCTGGAATACAATGCAGTCACTTAAATTATGTTTGAAGAGTCTTTAATGACATGGGAGCTGATTTAAAATTAAG